CAAATTTAAAAATTAAAAAAAAATATTGCACTATTTTAATGCCTTAATAAACAAAATCATTACAAAAGCAGTAATATGACATGAATACACGAAGGGTTTGTCCCTTGGATTTATTTTTTTCATAGCAAATACCAAGCATGCAGGAAACTGCAATTTTTTTAAGTAAAGTGACATTTCTATTGCAATTAGTGAATTCGAGATAGCAACATACTTCGCCGTAATAAGCATATTTCAAATAAATTGTTGTGTTGTTTTTTAGTGTTAGCCTAAGGCGTTGTGGGTCAATGGTTCTTATTAAAATCATATCCCAATCTGATCCGATTTGAATATAATTTTAAAAAAATTACTTTTACACCAAACTCCGCCACACCTTTCATATTTCATTGAAATTGGTGCGTCAAATATGTGAAATCGGCCGAGAATATATATATGGGAGCTATATCCAAATCTTAATTTATTTCCAATTAATTTATCACATTTTTTATTATAACCAAATTCCGCCACACATTCTGAATTTCATTGGAATCGGTCATATATATCGTGTTTGGTGAATAATATGTATGAAATCGGCCGAAATGTATATGTTAGCTATATCCAAACCTCAACTGATTTCAATATAATTTGGTAATTATTGCTGGTGCCAGATTTTGTCCCTCTCGCTTTGGGTGCATCAAATATGTGAAATCGGCTGAGTATATATATGGGAGCTATGATCACATCTGAGCGTATTTGAATATAATTTGTCAAATTTATTTTTGTACCAAATTTAGCCACTCATGCCGAATTTCGTTGGAATCGGAAATACGTATCGTGTTTTGTGCATCAAATATGTGAAATCGGCGGAAAATATATATGGGAGCTATATCCAAATCTGCACCGATTTTAATATAATTTGACAAATGTATATTTATTTTAATTTCCGCTACACATTCCAAATTTCATTGAAATTAGAGATACATAGCGTGTTTGGTGCATCAAATACATGAAATCGGTCGAAAATATATATGGGAGCTATATCCAAATCTGAACCGATTTCAATTTAATTTGACAAATTCATTTTGGCTCCCAATTCCGTTACTTATTTTAAATTTCATTACAATTGGAAAAACATGTCGTGTTTGGTCCACCAAATACATGAAATCGGCCGAAAATCTATATGGGAGCTATATCCAAATCTGAACTGATTTCAATATAATTTGGGAAATCAATTTTTTAGATATAATCTATCACACGTTTCAAATTTCATTGAAATTGGGGATACATAGCGTGTTTGGTGCATCAAATGCTTGAAATCGGCCGAAAATATATATGGGAGCTATATCCAAATCTGAACCGATTTCAATATAATTTGACAAATTTATTTTCGGATTAAATCCCGTCACACATTCCAAATTTCATTGGAATCGAACATTCATATTGTGTTTGAGGCATCAAATGAACGAAATCGGTCGAAAATATATATGGGAGCTATATCCAAATCTGAACCGATTTCAATATAATTTGGCAAACTTATTTTTGTTCCAAATTCAGTTACGTATTCCAAATTTGGAGACTGTATCTTCAATCAATCAATAGATATGTGCATATAAAATCTAAATTTTTGGGAGGTACCTCCGATTCTGATGCTATGTAAATGTATATAGCCTATGTTACTTTCAGGCGATGTTGCAGTATATATGGAAATTTTCAGGAAAATCTATTCAGCGGTTTTCGAGTCCATAAATTACAAACAAACAAACATACAAACATTTTCCTCTTTTATAGATATAGATCATACGATTTTAATTAACCCGAAAGGACATAGAAAGCCTAAATCCTCTGAAATGAAATGGAAAGTTGTCGCTCATTATTATCCATTTGCAGAGTTCACCTCGATATAAGTCCTTGGAATCCATGAATTATATTTGCGAAATTTATAAATGATTGTTTAAGTCTGCAGTATTTCCCTATTGACTTAACGTCTTATTACTCTCTATTACAGAGAGCAAAGTTTTTCAAAACGAAACTGACAGCTTTGCAATATTTGCTGATCGCTACCAATATCATGACTTAATACCGGCGAAAAGAATGACCACTATCAAGAAATTTGTAAATTTAATAATATTCAGTCGTTTTAATACACCATAAACTATAATTTCCGAATCTCACCTCCTTATCTAAACACTTCACAGTCATTCTAGACCAGAAATGTAAAATTCCAGTTCTTTTCCCACAATACATACCAAGTTAGTACCAGAGAGAGAGAGAGAGAGAGAGAGAGAGAGAGAGAGAGAGAGAGATCTTTCTTTTGAACATCTCTGCTATAAACTACTAAGGAGATGTATTATCAAAAATCTACACACTTACAGTGATCATAATACTAAATTTTATGGTGATAATTAATTCCTACAGTCCATATTTGTACTTTTCGTTCACAATATAGTACGGAATTCATAAGTTTTGTTGTATATCTAAACTTTATATCCAATGTAGTACCATTTATTAATATTATAATATAATAACTAATAAACACATTTCAAATTTTCAGTTTCATCCGTACATCCACTAATAAACAAACATTGTTTTTATAAAAACAATAATGGGATTAAGCCTAACTATTTTGCAACAACAAAATAATACGGTATCCCCAACGATCTTGTGCAAACTTTGCAAATCCCAATACTTTTGTCAGTGCTAGGTCAAGTGCGAAAATGGATCACTCCTTCTGGTACCTTTCCCACAAATGGTCAAAATTTGAAATAATTATAAACATTTATAAAATGAGAAATAAGAGTCCGATTTCTTAAAATTTCACACATTCCAATATTTTTATTAAGTGTGAAGGTGGGACATATCGGTCCACTCCTTCTGGTACCTCCCCCACAACAGGTCAATATTTTGTATAGTCATGAAGTTCGTAAAACGCGAAATCCGATTCCTTTCAATATCGCACATCTCAATATTTCTATCAAAACAAGACAATATGAAGATGGATGGAATATGTAGGACCACTCCTTCTGGTACCTCTCCCACAACGGGTAAACATTGTGAATAATTATATTTTTCTCACTAAATGCAAAATAAGCATCTGATTTATTCTAAACTTCGGACATACCTGCACAATATTTCTACTAACATAAGATCTGTTGTGAAAATAGTAGATATCGCCTAACTCCTTCTGGAGGTCCTCTAGAAGGATCAAAATTTGTAATAACAGAAGGCTAATAAAATGCGCAATATGCATCTGGTTCTTTCTAAATTTCACACATTCCAATATTTCTACTATCACAAGATTCGGTATGAATATTATATTTATCGGTCCACCCCTTCTTGTGCCACCACCACAAAGGGTCACATTTTTCAAAATTTATATCGCTTATAACATACGAAACAAGTCGGCGATTCTATTGGTATATCTACATATTTTTCACAATCAAAGATCTGATGTGGACATGGAAGTTATCGACACACTCCTTTACATACTTCCCCACAAATCTAAAAAATTATGCTACAATTGTTCCCAAAAAATTTTTATAGATTACTGATTTTTTTCAAATGTTCATATATGTTTTATTAACATTATATGTTCTATTATATCTGGTACCTGACACATATTTCAAATTTTTCCAGAAATGATCATATATATCATATAAAGCGAAGGAAATAGTCGATATAGTCCAAATCGGGCACGTTGTAATATATCAGATTTATTTTAAATGAGAAGTGGATAATATTGGCCCACTCCTTCAGTATCTCCTCCATAAAGGGTCAACATTTTGGATAAACTGATAGAGATAAATTGCTTAATTCGTTTTTATTTTTTCATCTATTGAACATTAATGACGCAGTGCCATGTGGCTTAATAGGGACAAAAACAATTACAACCATTATATTACAAACAAGTAAAAAACAGCTGAGTTCGGCCGGGCCGAACTTTTAATAACCTCCACCATTTTGAAGGATCTTGAAAAACTTCAAAAAAAAATCCGTCGAAAAATTCCACTTAACTGAAAACCATTATATTGGGGCTATACGAAGACGTGGACATCCAAAGTAATTTTTTTTTCATAGGCTGAAGTACCGATTCCGAAATTCAAATTCGAAATTTAAAACAATTTCGTTGAATAATATCACTAACTTTATTAAATTTGAAACAATTCCAGTGAATAATGTTGCTAATACCAAATCAAAATACCGAATAAAGGGATGTACCGTCATAGGTTGTAGTACTCATTGCGAGCTTCAAACTTTAAATACGAAATTTGAAACAATTCCGGTCAAAAATGTCCTTAAAATCAACAAAATACCGAATATTAGGGGGGTACCGTTAAATGGGGGCTATACGATATCCTTGTGTAGATTTTCAGAGAATTCCATTGAAAAATTGGGCTAAAATCGTGAAAATACCGAATGGCGGGAGGTGTCATTACGTAGGGGATATACGATATCGAGGACCTATATAGACACTTCTCTTCCAGGGGATAGAGTAATCAGAAGGAATTCCTTGTGTAGAATTTCAGACAATTCCATAGAATCATAGAATTCCTAAAATCACTTTCTGAGTCGATTTATGCATGTCAGTCCGTCCGTCTATCCATGTATTCTTGTGAACAAAATACAGGTCGCATTTATTATTGGATTGAGATGGAATTTTCCAAACAATATTTGTTTTACCCTATGACGAACTCTATTGAAATTGGTGATAGTCGGATCAGATTTAGATGTAGCTCCCATATATCTTAAATCGATTTCGGGTTAATTGTGCACCAAATGGCCAATATAAGTTCTAATGACCAGAATTTTGGTACGTCCCACCGAATTCAGTCTAAACATACATAATGGTGTAGGATATCATATAGTCGGCCCCGCCCGACTTTTCACTTTTCCTTACTGGTTATATATGTTGATTACACAAAATACGAATTTGCTCACCTCCTCCGAAGTGTTAACCACTATAGTAATTATTCCATCTCCAATAAACAATACTCATTATTTTTTGTTTTCATTTCATCTTCTTTCAGCGCATCATGGATTCAGCGGAACAAGCAGCCCTCTCCGAACTAGATGCGCAGGGTTCACATTCCGGTTCGTCGAATAATCAACACTACGATGCCCGACGCATTAACGAATATAATGCGGATGGTAAATTGGCTGATGGGGCGCGCCATATGGATATTCGTTTTATGCGGCGATTTGAACGACTACCCGTCAATCTCAGTCTAAGTTCGATTCTGGTGCCGAATGGCGTCTCTCTCGATGATGGAGATGTTAAGGCAGCCCTACAGTGGAGTGCACATTTGGATCCACTGTTCCAGAACAACTTGGAGCGAGATCCGGCATTGTCGTGGCAATACTTTGGCTCAACGTCTGGATTTTTGCGTCGTTTCCCCGGTACAGCATGGCCGCCGGAAGGTTCAAAGGGTAGCAAGCAGATACATGATTTTCGTACGCATAATTGGTTTGTGCAGGCTGCCTCTTCGCCCAAGGATATAGTGAGTTTAAATAATGAATAAAACTTTGTATTCGAATTGAATCATAATTTTGAAAATATTCTTAGATGATACTTTTGGACTCATCATCGAAAATGTCGGAGAAATCATTCGATTTGGCAATGGAGACGTCATTTAACATTTTAGATACCTTGGGAGAAAATGACTATGTGAGCTTGGTTACCCTGACCGATACGCCAAAATCGCCAGTACCCTGCTTCAAGGATCGCATGGTCAGGGCCACTCCCGATAATATATTGGAAATTAAATCGGCTGTAAAAGCTGTCAAACTCACAAGTACAGTTAATTTTACAGCTGGCCTGGAATATGCTTTCAGTCTGTTGCACAAGGTATGTATGCGGTGTTCCTTTGCTACTTTCGAATCTAATACCCTTTAGTAACGCTAGCTTTTCTTATGAGTCAACGGATTGCTTCTCTTTTCCTACCTGATCGATTGATATTCAGGGATGCTATGCAATTTCTTTTCAATCGAACTTTTGAGTGTTTGCCTAATATTATTTTTATCTTCCCATCGATACCACCTCACCAACTTTGGAAAGATATTTAATATGTCCTAACCCTCAATCCTCACTCGATTGAAATCCAATTGCTTTCTAAGACACGCAACCAAACAAAAATCATTTGCCTCCATCTCTGTCTTTCAGTACAATCAATCTGGAGAAGGTAGTCAGTGCAATCAAGCCATTATGTTAATCACGGAAAGTTCCTCGGAATCCCACAAGGATATTATAAAGCAATACAATTGGCCACATATGCCAGTGCGCATATTCACCTATTTGATTGGTTCGGATTCGGGAAGTCGCAGTAATCTACACGAAATGGCCTGTTCGAACAAGGGATTCTTTGTTCAGATCAACGACATGGACGATGCCCGGCGCAAAGTCATCGATTATGCCCTGGTCATGGCTCGACCCATGATCATGTATCAAGCCGATCACCCCGTCCACTGGAGTCCCGTTTTCGTTGCCGGTAAATCTGGTGGTCTGGCCCGAGACTCTGAATACCAGCGACGTTTGGTGACGACAGTTTCAACTCCGGTCTTCGATAGACGCAACCATTCGGTACGTGTGGCAAATCTGTTGGGCGTCGTCGGTACTGATGTTCCCATTGAGGAGATTCGTAAAATGATACCACAACATAAGTTGGGACCGAATGGGTATTCGTTTATCGTTGATAACAATGGCCGTGTACTGTATCACCCTGATTTACGTCCCATGAGCGATGGCAATCAGTATATTGATCAATTGAGGCCACGGTATACGTCAGTCGATATCACGGAGTTGGAATTGCCGGAAACCGAAATTGGCAATGATCACGAGATAGTGGAGATGAATAAAAATCTGTTGTATGATGTGAGTTAAAAAAAATCGTGATCTTAAAAAGAACTTCGTTAATTGTCTATTGTTTTTGTGTTGCAGATGCGTAGTGATATGATCATACCCAAAGAGGGCGAAACAGAATTTACAATTTTGAGTCACTACGATGATATGAAACGTGTCTATGCAAGATCACAAAGGTAAGTTATTTTTTATGTAATTTAAACTAACTGAGGCTTCTGCTGTTTTAATTAAAATTAAGGACTAGCAGGACATTAATTAATCATTGGACAATTGTTGCTCCGTGTTCGTATAAAGTTGACGTAAATTGTAATAAACAATGTTCCGTAACCGGAAAGAAAACCACATTTCCAAATTATTTGGAATACAGTTTTTAATTTGGCTCTGACATTTCAAAATTAACGGGCCAGTTTGAAATATAGTCCTTATATTGGGATATTGCCCACTTTTCGGTAATTCAAAATTGTTGCCTTACAAATTTTTTCAAGTTCAACTTTTGTTTTATATTCTCCATTTCATATACTGTGGAGGGTTTACCAATATTCTATGTCAATTAAGCAAAGCCCACTCCTCTAACTTACTTTGAGTTTGTGGAAATGAGTTTTATGACTGTAGAATTCATTGTAACAATAATGAGTCATATAAGTTCTGGTTTTGAAATGGCCAGATTTGGAATATTTTTTTTGTGATAGTTATACTTCACACCACACTGTAGTACAGTGTATAATGTCTTTGTGCATTTGTTTCTTACATTCAATTGGAATAGAGATACACTCATTATACCCTACACCACAAGGGGGTCAGGGTATTATGTCTTTGTGCATTTGTTTGTAACAGGCAAAAGGAAACGAGATAGACCCATAGTTCCTTTTGATGATCTGCATAGAATCACATTCTGAGTCGATTTATGCATGTCCGTCCGTCTGTTCGTCCGTCTATCTGTCCGTCTGCCCATGTATTTTGTAAACGAAGTACAGTTCGCATTTATTGCCCTATCCAGATGAAATTTTGCACAGATAATTTGTTTGGATGAACCAAGGATGAACCCTATTGAAATTGGAGATAATCGGTAAAAATTTAGATATAGCTTCCATATATCTTCGTCCGATTTGCCTTCTATTGTGCACCAAACATGTAATATCAGGCGGATAGTATAGAATTTTGCACGTACGATCAGATTGGACCTGAAAATAAGTATGCCAAATTTGATCAAAATCGGTTCAGATATAGCTATAGCTCCCATATATATTATTCATCCGATTTGTTATTTTTGTCCTCCGCAGCCGTAATATGCACCCTGTAACAACAATATTTGGGGAAATATATCAAATACAGCTCAGAAATACATTTGCTAAATTTTATCGAGATCGGTTCAGATTTGGATATAGCTCCATTTATAAATTCGTCCCATTTATCTTTGATTGTGCACCAAACGTCTAATATATGCCCAAATTGGATGAAATTTGGCACTTTCGACCGAATTGAGTCTAGAAGCTAGTATGTCAAATTTGGTGAAGATCGGTTCATAGCTCCCACATATACTGTTTATCCGATTTGTCATATTTGTTATCCACAGCCGTAATATGCACTCCGTAACAACGATATTCAGGGAGATATATCAAATACAGCTCAGAAATATCTTTGCCAAACTTTATCGAGATCGGTTCAGATTTGGATATATATTTTTATCCGATTTCAAATTAATTGTGCACCAAATGGGCAATACAGGTCCGAATTTAAAAGATACAAATGCTTCGGCATATCTAGTCCTTTGAACTTTAAATTATAATTATAATCATAGCGTATATGATTGAATTCTCCCATAAAAACTTTTAATTGTTATGCGGAGCTCTACTAAATTAGCAAAGTGGTGTAGGGTATCATAAAGTCGGCCCCGCCCGACTTTAAGTCTTTCTTTACTGGTTTTTCCTTTGGTAATCTCCATAGAATCCCATTTACAGTCGATTTACGCATATCTGTCCGTTTGTCTTTCCGTGTTTCCAAATGTTTCTGTAAGCAAAGTATAGGTCGTAATTATTTTGCGGCTGGAATAAAGATTCACTTGTTCATTTTTTATTTAATTGTATTTGCCCATATAGTATTGATTTTTGCACAGCCTGGAATAAAGTATGCCAATACTTTAAAGTGGTATTTGGAGTTCATAAAAAGCGCCACTTCCTCCGGCAGATAATTGGCTATAAAGATCGAAGTTTATGTATAGTGCCATATAACTCTACCTCCAAATATTCGGTATTTTGATGGAATTGTTTCAAAATTGGTACTTGGAGTTTGTAATGGGTTCTATCTCCTATGAAAGATAATTGCATGTACAAATTCACGTCTTTGCGGCGTTTTGATGATTTTAGTTACGTTTTTCAACAGAATTATCCTAAACTTGGTGTTTCAAGTTCGTGATTCTCTATTAAATTAATGAATATATTAGTTTCATCAGATCTCAAATTTTAGTTGCTCTTATGTCGAAATAAGCATTCAAAAGATCATAATTGGCTTCACACAAACACCTAATATAAACGTGCATTTGTTGCATATACACATACAATATGGGTAGTGGTGTAGCTTATCAAATTGTCAGTCCTGGGGCTGGATGGATTCTTGTTCTATGAAATGTGTCAAGCGACAGGCCTACATTTTTACTTGACTTAGAATAATATTATCTGCTCGGTGTTACATTCATCTGTGATTCTCAGTGAACAGTTTTTGATCAATTGTTTCCCAAAAATAAAAGAGATTTTAGTAAAGTCATTTGAGGAAAGCTGTCCCCTTCAAGAGAAGAAATCTTCCTACGAAAAATCAGGCAGATGACAGGGTAAATTCGTAACAAAGGGAAAGAGGTTCGAATGCTTAATAATAGAGCTCGACGTAAGAAACTAGTATACTCTATATTACAGAATATAACAAAATAGTCAGAACAGCAAAACGCAACTCCTGGAAGCTTTTCTGCGAACAGGTTGGCAAAATAAATGAAACAATAAAAGATATACTAGGGCTTTTGACGAACACACACTTTAGCGTGAAGCACCACGGAATACGTAGATATATCGGCAGATAAAGGAATGTGACTGATGGAGCACCAACAAGTAAAAAGGAAGCTAAGTTCGGCCAGACCGATCTTTTAATATCCTCCACCATTCAGAAGGAATTTTTTTAAATAATGAAATCGAAAAATACCTCTTAAATGAAAACCGTAACATGGAGTCTATACGAAGACTTGGACCTACATGGACAATTTAGTCATCGGTTGTAGTATCACAATTACGGTGAGTAATATATAGCTAAAATCATCAAAATACGGAATATCGCGGGGTAACGTTATATGAGGGCTATACGAAATTTTGGACCGACCGATACACACGTTTGTAAAACTTTAGCCCCCTATCTCAATTTGTTTGAAAGATAAAGTGATTACACTAAAGAGACACACTTTATAGGGTCTACAATGTGTATTTCGAGGAGTTACACACGGAATGACAAAGTTTATATACCCTCCATAGAATAGTGGAGGGTATAAAAATTGATGAATCAATGGCAAAGGATGTCATTAAAAGTTTCAAATCATTTAAGGCAGCGGGGCCAGATATGGTCTTCCGGTTTTGCTTCAAAAGGAAGTGGACTTAATTTCGTCCAACTAAGCCGGAATTTTCAACACTTGTATATACTCCCAAAAAGGCCTACAAGCGGCGAGTGTGATTTTTATCCCCAATACCTTGCAATACCTAAGACTTATTGGCCGATAAGTCTAACTAACATCATTCTTACTCAAAACCATGGAAAGTACAATCGACACCTTGATTAAAAGCAACATCTCAAACGATTTGCTAAAATATAAACATCACGCATAAGTTAAAGGACGTCCAGCGGAAACCGTATTGCATGAGGTTGTACAGCACTTTCGAGAAAAATATGTATGCACTAGCTTTATGCATTGTTATCGAAGGCGCTTTCAATAACGTCACCAATTCTTAGATAATTTCCATGTGGTCCAGGTCAGTAGGGCCTGGATAAAAAATATGCTAAGGAATAAATGCAAAAGTTCACGGCTAAATGATGTCAACATAAGGGACAACCTCCTCTTCTGTGGGTTACTACTATAAACAGTCAATTAAGGACTTTAACCAACAAAGCATTTAAATTGCTTCGACGACGTTGTGATACTTCTGAGGAGGAAGAACCCTAACTTGTTGCTAAGAAGGGCCGATTCGGCTCTAAAACTTGCATACAACTCGATTCTGTAAAACCGAAAAAACAGATATATGTATTTTCACTAGGAACACGAAATTGGGGTATTTCTATGAACCAGTCTTCCTGTACAAGACAATATACATTTCTAATAAAGTTAAATATCTGGGTGTGATCCTAGATGGGAAACACTCAAAGATGCTGGGCAACGTGCAAAAGGGCCATAGGCTCAAAATGGGGTTTCAATTCAAAGATGACATATTTGTTATTCAAAAGCATAATTAGACATATTCCAACATAGGCATCAGTAATCTGGGGGACAGCTATGGATACAAAATGTAAAACTAAAATATTACAGAAATTCTAACCAACTGAGGACTTGGATGACTTTCTCTGTTAATGCCCAGCGTTTGCAAATGTCAGATCAGCAATTCTTAGGAAACGATTCCTTATCATTTTTTTTAAATTTTATTGAATGAAAGCATAAAATTTCGAAAATAGCATTAATTTTAGAATAAGTTTAGATTTGTTCGACTAAGTCACCTTTGGCACGAATTATGGCCTTCAAACGGCAAATAAAACCGTCACACGCTGCTCGAATGTCGCATTGCGGTATTTTGGCTCATTCCCGGCGTAGCGATTGCTTGAGGTGATCGACACTTTGGTATTTTTTAGTGCCAACCTTGGTTTCCAAAATACTCTAGACACAATAGTCCAAAGGATTGGTATCCAGAGATTTTGGTGGACATTGTGCGCTGGAAATGAAGCGAGGAAACTCATTTTGGAACGGTCGATTACTACAAGCGACTGTTATGGCGGCCCACATCATCACCATAGCCGGCGCTTGAGTTCCAGTGGCCAACCGAAGGTCCACATTTTCAGCTGACCTCTTTGACAAGTAAACACGACCATTTTGTTTGTTTACAAACTGCTGGACAACGAATGTTTTTTCATCGGAGAAAACCAAATTCGGCAGATCACCACTTTCGGCCAAGCGAAGCAACTCTTTAGCTATTTTGAGTCTATTTTCTTTCTGCTGCGGTGTAAGTTGCTGCACGTTTTGGAATTCCAATGGCTTTAATTTTAACAGCTGTCGGACGAGTGGCTTAGAAATGACAGCAATCTAAAGTTGGTTGCAGTTTTTTCATCTCACCCTGTAGAGCATACCAGCTCCTGTAGTAGACGATTTTCCATGTAGGTTCACGTTTTGCTATAGCGCCTATATTTTTCGATTATTCGATTTTGGTTTTAGCAATGTTTTCTAGCGGAATTATTTAATATTCGGTTTTTAGATTTTGTAAAGAACAACAATACCAGAGCATTGTTATACTCTTCTGTTATTATACTTGTTAAACTTTGATAATCTGCTGATTTATACTACGTCAGATATTCACTTTGCTCGGAAAATGTTGAATTTTTTAGGGGAGGTACCTATGGAAGCGGTATAACATTGTCCATTCTCCCACCAAATTTCACCTCCATAAAAAATGTTTTGGCATCCTTTTCTGTGAGATATATAGTTTTTATAGTTGTGTTAATTTTACCGAGGGGAAAGAGTGGGAAGATATTGCCGGTCTTCCAATATAATCTAAGTTTGACAAAATGGTTGTACAAAGTTTGGAGGCAGCCTTCGAAAGTTATCGTGTACACCAGCCAGATAGAGACATTTTTGATATCACATAAAACATATCCTCTGTAAACAGGGGCTAAAAAATTGGGCTGACCATCTATTTTTATATAATTTTTTTTTGGTCAGGGTTTTCTTCATAGGCGATATTTTAACATTTTCGAATATTTCTGGTGCTTTACTATCTATAACAGAGCTTTCGATTTACCCTTGACATGTGGATATTTAAACATTAATAAATAAATAATACTATACATTTGAATACATTTGAAATAATTTTGCTCCATTTTTTACGATTGTTTCAGATATTTTTATGGTCCCATTGAAAATACTCCATTTACGCTCGCTGTTGTTTTGCCCGAAAAGTATGGCACCCATGAGTTGCTCTCCGAACAAGAAATACGGCATTCACGTAAAAATGGTAAATATACTTATTTTATAATTTCTTCGAAACACTATTTTAATACTTTTTCCCCTTTCTAGTTACGGATTATTTTAAGGGCGACAATTGGCGTGTCCATCCCGATTGGGTATATTGCGAATACAACAGCGTTAGCGATTTGGAAAAAGAACGTGAAAGTTCGGGTGAATATAGCAATTCTAGAGATCAAGAACCTAGTTTTGGCTCACCCGAAGAACAGGTGTTGCATTTTCTGGCTAGAGCTGGAAGACCTGGTTGGAAATGGATGTCGGTAAGCACAAGATTGTCAAACAATTTAAGAATGTAAAGAGATTTACTCTAATCTATTGTTCTTTTGTAATTTTTTAAGGTAAGGCCAAAATCGCCACAACCACATCTCAATTTGCATGCTGCAACACCTGTGGGTCATTTTGCCCAACACATGAGTCTGCAAGGTTCTCGCAAAGCTGAACCCTACTATTGCGATCGAACCTTGTTGCAGAGTTTAGTGCGAGATGCCATGGTCACTGATGGTCTGGATCGTAACACAACTGGAACGCCCAATGGAAAAGAGGATAAAAAGTAAGTTTGCTTCCAAGCTACAGACATGTGGCAAAGAATGCTCAGACTTTGCACAAAATCTAATAAGCAAATAAAATCATTCGGAATTCTTTAGGAACTATTTTACAGCTTACTAAAACACCAATATTTCCTATTTTCCTTCCTGCACATCTTTTTTTCTTCTTTTGATTTGGAATTGTTTCTATTGTTATTATTTTATCTTTTTTTCTATTTCAACAACACAAATGCACCCTTTAATATATTTTTATAACAACGCATATTTAATTTACCCTTTTCAACTAATTTAAATAATTCTTAAAAAATTAAAAAAATATTCACTTCTTCAGTCCAATTGCCACGTTAATGGCAATTTTGAAAAGGTAAATTTACAGACACAAACTTTTGATAATTATTCCAACAGTATCCATTGGATAAAGCTAGATCTAGAACTCGTGAATGGATTAGCAGCTCGATGTGATGGAATTTGAATGTATTTCATTATAAATTTTGATATTGCTATTCAAAACTATGCTCGTTTAACAAATACTATGAGTCGATTTAAAGTTTATGATCATACCGATCCACACATTACAAACTACTTTATTAGGCTTCAAAATTATATTATTTTTTTAAGTTGCCTATAGCGAATTAGATTGGCCACGTATTTTTCGAGTCTAAAAGATAAGAATTATAAGTTCTTATTGTGTGTCTTATACAGGGAAATATTTTGAATATTTTAAAAAGCGATGTTCATGTTGTGTTAAATTTGTTAAAACTTCACTTTCCTTATTACCAGACATTCTTCACAAAGTCTAACGGTTGTATCTGCAAGATTCTACAAGTATTTTCATTATAACCTCAGCCATATGGACACAGAATCTATATATATATCATTTGATACGTGCCTCATCAAAAAAGGGCCTTAGACCCTAGGACCAAATCAGTTTTAGAATATTTGGAGTCCATCTAGGGGTTCTGTTCCTCTGTCTGTCTGGTTGGTGCGCACGATAACCCTCGAAAAGGGTATTCGATTTGGTCCAAACTTGGTACATAGTAATATTATAGTCAAACCTTGATCGATTTCGGAGATTGGCATTATCGGCCCACTCCTCCTAGTACCTTCCCCACAAAAGATCTACATTTTCATAAAAAATAATTTAGAACAAGATAAAATCATCCAATTTTGTGTAAACTTTGCAAACCCATATACAGGGCGAGATGAAAAAACTGCAACTAACTTCAGACTGATGTCATTTCTAAGCCACTCGTCCGATAGCTGTTAAAATTATTACAGTGATAGCTCATTATATTGTTTACAAGAGTACAAAAGCATTTTGGTGAGAGTTTTCCAGAAAAAAAGTTATTCGTGATTGAATTCAAGCGTGAAAGTGTAATTTCTTTATATTTGGCTGAAAACCACAAGTGGCTATCGTTAAAGCACTCCAGCATTTAAATGTGAATAAATATTTTGTGTCTCGTACGATCGCTGGTTACCGTGATACTGGTAGCGTAGCCTGACATCAAGGGAGTGGACGGAAGAAAACAGCAACATCAGCAGAAATGGTTCGAAAAGTAAAGAAGCGACTTGATCGAAACCCGCGTCGCAGTGACCGAAAAATGGCTCTTGAGCTGAACATATCGCAATATCCTATTCGGCAAATATTTAAAAATGAGCTCGGGGTAAGGTCATTGAAATTCCAAAAAGTGCAAGAACTTACACCGCAACAGAAAGAAAATAGACTCAAAGGAGCTAAAGAAGAAATTAAAGAAAGAAATTTAAAAATTATGACGTTTGACTTTGTTGCAGTTTTTTATCTCACCCTGTATTTTTTATCATACTATGTGAGGTGCGAAAATGGACATTATCGTACTACTCCTTCAAGTACCTCCCCGTTCACCCCTTCACATATTTCATAACTTGCGAAACAAATCAACCATACCTCTCTAAACCAGATATGTGATGTGAATATGGAATTTATCGGTCCACTTCTTTTGCTACATCCCCCACAAAAGGTTTAGATTTTGATTAATAATTATTTAAATAAAAAATATTTTTTTCGATTTTTAAAGGTTTTCATTGGTACTAGACGAAGTGCAATAATTCGGTTTACTATATCTGGAACCTTAAGCAAACTTCAACATCTTCTAAAAATGTTCATATACCTCATATAAAGTGAAAGAAGTAGTTGATATAGTCCAAATTTGGCACGTTATAATATATGTATCAGACTTATCCCAGATAGTCAAAATAATTATGACGCGAGTCAAAATATATATTAAATAAATGGACATTGGCTGAGGGTATACATCTGCCGGCAAAACTGACTGATACTTTTTAACTTGTTTTCTAAATTATTTGAGCAGTGTCCTTTAGTCTGTCTATTGTAATGGCACTATTTTCCGAACAAATTAAGATAGAAAGCTATGATTTTGCACATATCTGTATTTTGTCAGTAGGCAAAAACAAGTTCTGAAGTAGGACATTTTGGGCATTTTTCATATAGCTCCCTTGTGATGCTATTTAAAGCACGGTATTTAGATCCACCTGTGGCAGAACATTGTCTATATAGGTCCCCGTTTTTCTATAACAATATTTACCGATGTTCGGCATTTTCATACACTTTTAAATTTTGCAGTAAACATTTTTAAGGTGTTCTACCTTTTGGGAAACATATCTTCTATAAATTAGCAGATGCGAATACACTATATATTTGGATGATTTTAGCCATATTTTTCATTGAAATGATTTTAAGTTTTATATTTAATGTTCGCAATAGATACCTACCACTGCAGCATGCACATGATCTACATGAATCCACGTTCTCCTATAGGCGTTTTATAATTATGATAATTTGCTGTGAGTACATTAGAAGCTTGAATTCTTCTCATGAAAATATTGGAAAAAGCGGATTGATGTATCCATATATATGCTGGAAGTAATATTATATAATTTTAAAGAAAATTTAAATTGAAGCGCGTATCCGATTAGGTCCACATTTGAAACATCATAGTATTTTTACTAAACATAAATCGAGTTAACAATTAAAAAAAACACGCAAATATCATATTAACTTTTAACTAACGAGGTTGTGGTAAACTTTACCCTCTCTTCATATTTTATTGAAATTCTCTCTTATATTGCTATGAATAAAAGTACCTACTTTATTTAACAGACATAAATCTGTTTTATTTTAATTTAAAACATATTTGTATAACAAATAATTATCAAAAAATATGTTAAAATATTTTTTGTAAAATACGTCCCAAAATTTCGCCACATTATTCGCCAAATTATACATGATGTTAGAGTCACATATATACTGACTTTTTCACAACGACCTGTACAGTTTTTAAAATCTGAGTCGCTCCTAAAGATCTTTTTAGCTAAAAAGAAACGATTTATCAATCTCATGTTGACAGAAGTGGGTGTGGATAAGACGTAGGCCAGGATTATGGATAAGACGTAGTCCAGAATTATCAACTCATTCCTGCTCCTTAAAAAAAATTAATTTGGAATAATAATAACTCCCTTAAGGTGGAAAATCAATGTCCAATGTTCTACAAACTTTTAAAATCCAGTTTGTTCTATGTTAGTGTGAAAATGGAATATATTGGTAACATTTTTGGTGCCCCCAACCCACGTTAGAAACATATCATATAAGACAATATAATACAAGCTTGGCTCGTGATTAAAATCAAACTTAGGTTAGTAACTATCATGAAAAAACTGGCTCACTGTTTCTATTCCATAAGGTTAATATTTTGAAAAATCTTTAATTCGAATTACAAATAAAATGTTACGAATTAAATATACAACTGTAATTTTAAAACATTTCAGTTGAAGTTCGATAATTCCAATTGTAATTGGAAATATTTCATTTGTAACTCAATTAATACCATTTTTAATTCGAATTATTCCATTTGAAATTCGAAGAAAATATACAGCATGTGGTTTTTTTGTATTATTGTATATTATATTTAATAATATAAAATATGTTTTTATACCCTTCACCATACTATGGAGGGTATATTAACTTTGTCATTACGTTTGTAACTCCTCGAAATACTCATATCAGACCCAACAAAGTATATATATATTCTTGATCAGCTTAAAATTCTAATTCGATTTAGCGATGTCCGCTTGTGTGTCTGTCTGTTGTAATCACGCTATCATTCGAACGAATTGAGATAGAAGGCTAAAATTTTGCACACATATGTTTATTTTGCCAGTAGACAGGTTAAAATCGTAAATGGGCCATGTAGGTCAACGTTTTCATATAGCCCCCATATAACAGTACCTCCAGATATTCGGTATTTTGATGATTTTAGCGATATTATTCACCGGAATTGTTTCAAATTTAATATTTAAAGTTCGAAATGGATACTACAGCCTACGACAGAAAATTGTCTGTGCAGGTGCACGTCTTCGTATAGCCCCCATATAACGATTCCTCCCTATATTCGGTATTTTGATGATTAATTTAGCGACATTATTCACCGAAATTGTTTCAAATTTGGTATTTGAAGTTCGTAATGGAAACTACAGCCTAAGACAGAAAATTGTCTGTGCAGGTCCAGGTCTTCGTATAGGCCCTATATATCAGTACCTCCCTACGGTATTTTGACGATTTTAGGTACAATACTCACCGAAATTGTCTGAGATGTCGTATTTGAAGTTCGTAATGTAAGCTACAGCCTATGATAGAAAATTGTATATGCAGGTCCAGGTCTTCGTGTAGCTCCGATATAACGGTACCCCCCTATATATGGTATTTTGATGATTTTAGCTGCATTATTCACCGTTTATTTCAAGTTTTGAATTTGAATATGGTAATGGCTTATGACAAACAAATCCTATCTAGGTCCACGTCGTATAGACCCCAATATAACGGCTGTATTCGGTATTTTTAAGATTTTAACAGAATTCTTAACGGGTTTTATTTTTGGAAAATGTCGAAATTCTTTCCAAATGGTGGAGGGTATTCTAGGTTCGGCTCGGCCGAACTTACTGATTTTTAATTTATAATTATATTTTGTAAACTAAAGACTAAAAATATAAATATTAAATAATAATATTTTTACATTGTTCTTCATGCCACATTCTATGAATACAACAAAACAATTTTAAATTGAATATCCTGCCCACTTTAATATAATTTGTATATTTCTTGTTATATTTGGAATAATTCAAGTTTCAAATGCAAAAATTCGAATTACAAAATAAAACATCTGAATCACAATAAGGAAAGTTCGAATTACAATTCGAATTACAAATAGAAATTCCAAATTGCATTAAAAAATGTTTCGAATTCATCTGAAAAAAGTGTAATAAAGTGACAAATAATTTTCCGATTTTCTTCAAACTGTGCAACTTCTCCAAATTTTAAATATATAAGAAATTTTAATCATAACCTTCACTTAATAGGAAATTACATTGTTTTTACCTAATATTAGATGGAATTAAAATATGGGATATGTAGGTTCCGCTGAAAAACAAGTCGCCAAATGATGAGGGTATATGTCTGCCAGATATTTTGGCTGGATTAAATGTACTGAAAATGTAGATCATATACATATATGGTATGTTCCCGTTTAAATTCAGCGTTATCGTTTGATATGACCAATATGTACCTCATTGAAATAGTAGTTTTAAAACCAGTCTCTGATATTTCTTTTCAATAGTTATGACTTCCAACAAATGAATATATATTTGTACGGGTTATGTCTCAAATCATCTTAGACGATCCTGCCAGTCATAGACATAGTCGGTGTATCGTGATGGTTCTCGCGCTAACTTTCGAAGTGGTTTCGTAATTCGGAACAAAATTTGCTTTAAATTTTGTTATAATATACTAACGAATTCATATTCAGCCATAGACCTTTCTTCATACCCGGCTGATGCGTTCTAACATGAAAAGCAAAAAATTCTTCTCATCCATAATATTTTCCAACAATATTTTGATTCAGTTTTATTCCCTTTATTCCACTGTGGGTAGAATTTTCAAGATGTATGCTATTCCTAAGTTTGACAAACCTTTAAATACGATAAGTATTGTTGCATCAATAACATATTTCAGATAAAGATTAACTTTGTATTTCACAAAACATTTTCACTGACGTCATAGTAAAAAAAATATTGATTTCAAACATTCACTCCTGGAGTCGCTCAATTTTCACACAAAATTAATATTTCGAAAACTAATGGCAAACTTATTTATCCATTACAGGCAAGGCTATCAAAAGTTTGTGGTTACCACTTCATTTGTTGCCACTCGTTCCGGCCTTTTGAGGTGGATTGATCACATTAAACCAGCAGATGATTCGCCAGATCCGTAAGTAGACCATTATTAGTTGATGACACAATGAATAACAAATATTATTTTCCATCCAATTTCTAGGCACTTCAGCGAAGAAAATGCTCGAGCCATGGATATGTCTTGGTACAAGCGGGCAGTTGATCAACATTATGTGGAACAGGATAGTTTTGTGTACAGCGTACCCTTTGGTTCGGGTTATAATGGAAAATCGAATGGCACATTAGTTACGGCTTCACATTCCATATTTGTCGAACATCGTGGCCATAAGGCACCGGCAGCTGTTGTAGGACTACAATTTCAGCACGATTCTTTGGCCAAACATTTTATTAACATTACATCGGCTGTAAGTTTTAAAGATCTTATTATATCCCAATTTAGATTACTAAAACATCTCCCGCATTACAGTGTACCGGAATGACGGGCTGCAAACGTACCTGTGCATCGGATAATTTGGATTGTTATGTTTTGGACAACAATGGTTTTGTCATCATTTCCGAAGAGTCAGAGCACACGGGTAAATTCTTTGGTCAAATTGATGGCACCATAATGGACTCCTTGGTCCAGGATCGGATATACAAACGTGTAACGGTAAATGACTACCAAGGAGTTTGTTCGAATGCCGATAACCCCTATACAGCCTGTGGAGGTCGAGCCAAACCCAATTATGTTGCTTCATGGTTCTTTAAATATCTGTTATCACTGAGTGCCACATGGCTGTCACTGTTGCCCACGCCACTCAAAGCCTGGCCCCAGGATGATTATACCTACAATGAAGAGAACTTTGAAGAACCCACATATACCGATGATTATGATGCATTTGAAGAGGATTATATATCACCAGTCGACGAAGAAATGGATGAACTCTTTACCACCGCTGATGTAGTAGGATCATTTTATTATGTTATCTCTCCATTTCTGTTTATACAACAATTTGGTTTTCTGTTTTAGGAATATACAACACCAACACCCAAACAGCACAAACCCCATGTTGGACCTCGCTCAAATCCTGACCCTTCCAATGCTCGTCGCTGCGATTTACGTACAGACCTGTATATGCTGCAACCAGAGCGATTAAATCAAGGGGGTCAAAATAATCCTTTAAAGGTTTGATTTTACAATTAGATTAATAACAATTTTATAATTATATCTGATTTTTTTCTTTAGGGTAAATTAACAAATTGCCATGTGTCGGGCTGCGAACGTCCATTTAGTGTCCAGAAGATTCCACACAGCAACTTAATTTTATTAGTTGTTGACACACTTTGTCCATGTGGTTCAAAGCAATTGGACATTGAACCCATGGAAGAATCCGGTATTGTTGGTAAGTTATTTGTTCCATATTGTAAATAGGATCCTATACGATGAGAATTACACCAGATTATTGAAAAATCAAAGCTATTTAAGACCATTCAAAAAAATGTGCACCATATAAAACAAGTTAAAAAGCAGTAAGTTCGGCCGGTTCGTACTTTGTATACCCTCTAACATTTTGAACGAATTTGGAAATTTTCAAAAAATAAATCCCTTATAAAATTCTGTTAAAATTTTAAAAAGTCCGAATATAGTAGTTATATTGGGGTCTATACGACATAGGCATTGTTTGTCATAAGCCATTACCATATTCAAATTCGATACTTGAAATAAACGGTGAATAATGTAGCTAAAATCATCAAAATATCGTACATAGGGAGGTACCGTTATATCGGAGCTGTGCGAAGACCTGGACCAGCATAGACAATTTTCTGTCACAGGCTGTAGCATCCTTTACGAACCTCAAATACGACATCTCAAACAATTTCGGTGGATATTGTACCTGGGTTGTCCATATTCGACGGACCCATCTGGCAACACCATAACTTTTGACAGAGATGTCACATCACTTAATGACATCCCGCGTTTTAAGCGTCAGTCGAAGGAGATTTTTACAATGAACCAATACACGCCACGCGAGCGCTCTGAAATAGTTGAAATTTACATTCAACAGAAGAAGTCAATTGTGAAAAAAATGTGAGAAGTGCGCCTTCTAAGAACACCATTAAGCGTTTATACGAAAAATTTTCGACTGGTAAGGCTTTTTCTAATTCGAAGAGGCCATATAAAAGTCGACCAAGGCGATCGGCCGAGAATATCGCTGCCGTACGAGCCAGTGTTGAGAGGTCCCCAAGAACATCCCAAAAACGCCGTTCTCAGCAGTTGGGTATGGCTCGGTTTACTTTACAACGGATTATTCGCATTGATTTGCATTTGTTCCCGTACAAAATTCAATTGACCCAAAAAATGTTGCCTGCGGACAAGCCTCGTCGATTGGAATGGGCCGAAAGAGTCATGGGTCCGTCGAATATAGGCAACCCTGTAAACTCGTCAAAATACAGAATATAGGGAGGTACTGATATATGGGGCCTATACGAAGACCTAGACCTATATAAACAATTTTCTGTCACAGACTGTAGTTCCCATTACGAACTCTAAATACGTAGTTTGAAACAATTCCGGTGAATAATGACGCTAAAATCATCAAAATACCGAATATAGGGAGCTACCCTTACATAGGGGCTATACGAAGACATGAACCTGCACAGACAATCTTCTGTCATAGGCTGTAGTATCCATTACGAATTTCAAATACCAAATTTGAGACAATTCCAGTGCATAAAGTCGCTAAAATCATCAAAATACCGAATATAGGGAGGTACTGTTATATGGGGCCTATATGAAAACGTGAACCTACATGGCCCATTTACGAACTTAACCTGCCTACTGGAGAAATAAACATGTGTGCAAAATTTTAGCCTTCTATCTCAATTCATGCGAAAGATTGCGTGATTACAACAGACAGACAGACAGACGGACATCGCTAAATCGACTTAGAATTTTGCGCTGATCAAGAAAATATTTACTTTGCTGGGTCTGATATGAGTATTTCTAAGGGCTTGCTGATCTGAAAGTAAATAAAAAGATGTCAAATTATGAAATGGCCATTAATTTTTTTTCGTAGATTATTTCTTGTACTTTAACATTTAAATATAATTTCGGATACATGACCGCCACGACTATTTACCACAATGGTCACTCTGGAGGTCCACTTTTCAACTTTAGAATTCGAAGCATTCTAAAGGCTTCAATCGCTGTAATTTATCCACAAATGACTTATGGTATCCCTACAAAAAATAACCGAGTTGCGGCAAATCACACACACGTGGAGGCCAAATTAACAGGCCCATTTCTCCAAATAATGTTTTCGTTGAAATGTTTTTATAATAACATTATTGTTTTGCACGCAGTATGACAAGTGGCACCATTCTGTTGAAACCTCATAAAGAGGCTTCTAAAATACGCATAAATATTAAATAATTTATCCTCCTTTTGGCATTTTTGGTAGAAAAAGTTTTGAAAAGGGTCCGAAGTAGCAGCGAATATGGATCTGACAATTTTTCATAGTTAATGCCCAGTTCTTCTAAGGCCAGAGAAATGGGAACGAAAATAAGGCAATCAAATTTAGTTTCTGAAAACTCATTGATTTCTTTCGATTGAATTTCGAAAATTGAACAAAATAAATGAGTACAGGTTTAGTATGTGTTTTTATATCCTCAGCAGAAATGCTGCAGAGCTTATACATAATTTGATACACCCAAATAATGACTATTTAAATAACGGGTTTTGACCCCAGTAGTGGAATTCTTTAACTCTTTTTTCGAGTTACCGACATAAATCGGTAACTTTTAAACCCAGAATTTGAATATAAAAAAGAATTTAAAGTTGACAACATTGGTATCAATCGTTAGGTACGACTACGTTGATTTCGTTAATTACCGAAGTTAAAAGTATTTTAATTTTACCGGTTTTCGTCGGTACCTCAAAAAATGAGTTAAATAATTCCACTACAGGTCTCTTTTGACCAAATCCGTTTCAGGACGTTTGAAGTCGATTTAGCGCATTGACCGTCCGTCTGTCAGTAACTCGAAGGAAATATTCGTAGTGTTAGATCGTAATATTTTTACCAAGCATAGATCGATTTCGGACATAAGCAATATCAGTCCACTCCTCCTGGAACCAACCATTTAAATAGTCTTAAGACATTGAAAATAATTATTCGATGTTTCTTCTAAATTCGTACAACGCAATTATTTTGCCTAGATTGTATCGGTGAATTCCTTCTGGAAACTACCACACTAAAGTTTGAAATTTTGAATAATTATAACCCTTTATAACATGAGAAAAACGTCAGCGATTTACTTCAAATGTTATTAATCGCATATATACCTGTCTTCAAAACCGACTGATAGTTTTTAAATTGTTGTACCCTACAACACTATGTGTTGGGAGTATTATAAGTTTGATTGAGGCATGAAATTTTTAATACCGCGAAATATTGGTCCCAGACCCACAATGTTATATATGGATCTTCCTATCTCGCCCAACTGAGTCGATGTAGATATGTGTGTCTTTCCGTCTGTCTATGTTAATTTGTAATCACGCTACAGGTCGGTCAATTTTAGCCCGATACTCACGAAATTTTGGATGGAGCTGGGGTAAGCTTCAGAATAAATAAAACTGAATAATTTCCTCGTTCAGTCTCTCTATAGGCCTTTCGCATGGGGTACAGTTTAGGAAAGAACAGAAACCTTACATTGGATGGCCATCAGATAAAATTTAGCGGGTAAAATCGACCACAACGAAATTCTAGCTCGGAAATACCCTTCACTGTTTGGTAAAGCTATCAATGTCATCCTCCCCCTGGGACCAAATCCGTTTCAGAACATTTGGAATCGATCTAGCGATGTCCATCTGTCTGTCAGGCTGGTGCGCAAGATAACTCCCGAAGCTAGAATCCGATTTGATCCAAACTTGGTTCATCGTAATATTATTGTCGAACTTAGATCGAGTTCGGAGATGGGCAATATTGGTCCATCCCTTCTGGTACCTCCCCTACAAAATGTCAATATTTTCAAAGAAAATAATTTACTGCACAGAAAGAGAAGTAATAATCCGATTTTGCTTCAAATTTGTAAATCTTATTTGCGTCAGTTCTAGGTCAGGGGCAAAAATGGATAATATCGGTCCACTCTATCAAGTCCCTCCCCAAAAAAGGGTAAACATTTTGAATAATTATAACCCTCATAAAATGTGTTGTAAGAATCCGATTGTTTTAAAATGTCATCGGTCCACTCCTTCTGGCACCTCCTCCACAAAAGGTCGAAATTTTGAATATATATTAAGCTCCGTGGCACCGTTTTGTTGAAACCATTTGTCATGCATTTTAAGCACTTGCATTTGGGCAAAACAAAAAAATAAATAAATATATTGGATATCATCATACGGTACAATAATGCCTCCAGATCATAAACAGCACCAATCTGTGACTTTTCCTGAATGCATAGCTTTTGTAATGGATAGCTTTTGTAATGCTTCTGGCTGATTTTATTCCAAAATCGACAATACTGCTTATTTTCGTACTCATTGAGCCCGAAATGAGCTGACCATAATGATAATAAAATTCAATGATTTGAAAGCGTTGTTCGTTTGTAAGACGATTCATGGTTAAATTATAGACAAAACTAAATATATGTTTACAGTGAAGGAAAATACGAAATGGGTGTGAGTTCTTTATATCAGTGTTGCCAAACATTTAATGGCTAAAAATTCACCCTTTACTGGGTTCAAGCTTTGGTCTATCACTCATGTAACAGAAAAGTCAAATTTTACCGATTTATCGTTTTGTGCAGCTAAAGTCTTTCCCTTCGGAAGTATTATCATGTCGTCTTCATAGCAGATTGGTTCAAATCTGTATTTAGTTAGGATCTTCAATAGTCTGTTTATGGTAGCAACACATAGTAGTGGTGATAATACATTCCCTTATACTTTCCCTAATGGCGATTAGACTAGAGTTTCGATGCTGATGTTAAGTTCAGTTGGGTCAAACTCCACCACCATTTGGAAAGAATTTGCAAGTTTCAAAGAAAAAAAAAAAAAAAAACTCCGTTGAAACATACTGGAAAAATCATCAAAATAGCGAATATATGCTATTCGAAGTCCTGGCCCTGCACATGCACTTTTCTGTCAGACAGTGTATTTAACCATTAGGAACTTCAAATTCTAAATTTGAAATATTTCTTGTGAAAAGTGTGACACAAATTGTCAAAATACTGAATATCTGGAGGTCATATGACGACTATTCCAAAAAATAGACATATATTGACAGTTCTATGCATGCATTATGCATTCTATTACATGATGGGAAAACATGCTGCCAATTTACATCAGCTTCGGGTTAAAGTCGTGACTAAAACACCCAAAAACCTAAAATATGTCGGCACAGTTATATGGGGGTTTTTAACATAACGTGGACTTATTTAACCCGTTTTCAATACCAAGAATGCTGCAGGGTGATCCGGAAGCTAAAGTCTTTCACAGACGTACAGAGAGGCAAATGGACGACATCGCTAAATCGACATAGAATTTTATGCTGATCAAGAATACATATACTTTCAAGGTGTTACAAACGGAATGACAAACTTAATATACGATTCAACTACTATGATTCAACGATTCAACTCATTTATTTATTTTACAATCTCGTTTTGTACCTTGCCCATAATTCTACTATTGTATTAATCAGATTGAAGACATTTTTTTCTGTAACTACAATAAAAAGTTATCCCGCAACCAGAGATTTTTCCATACATTTGGTTAGATATTATTTTGTTTAGTGATAACTAATAATTTTCTCTCTTCCCGTCATTTAATACAGGAGCTTGCAGTACCCGCCGCCAATCACAAGAAACACAAAAACGACGACGACCCAAAAAGTGTATAAACTATCATCCGGAAGAAATCGAAATACAGCAGTGTGGACGCGGTACACATCTCCTGCAGAAGCCCGTCTCCCTTGTTATCGCTCACATTGTCATGATTCTTGTCAGTGTTCTCTTGACCAACGCGTGATACTAAGGAGGTGCGATGCAAACACATTTGCTATACGTTTAAAATCGAATCCTTATCGACATTAATCACATGGAAAACAACAACAGCAACAAGCAGCAACAACAAATTTGTATACTTTTTCGGTTTTCACGAGACAACGCATAACATTCATAAATAAGTACGTACCCTGAACGTCACCATAACTAGGCATACAAAAAATAGGAGACAAGGATAATTAAGTTTGGATGTAAGTTTATCTTCCTTTACATTGCATCTTTTGTTGTTGTAGTTATACGACACCAACACTATGGCGCCCTAGAGGGACAACACAAACTTGAAAATGTTTAAGGAAACCCGCAGATAATGTCTTAGTTTATGTTTTACTATTACTTTTTTAGTAAATTGAATTGAATTCACCACAATGATTACGCAAGAAGGGGGAATAAATGAATCCCCCCACACGTAATTAATTGGCGTAATTTTGTCAGAGACACGAAAAACATGAAACCTAAGAGAATTTATTAATGATGAATGATGAAGTAAAAAAAAAAAAACAAAATTTGTAAACTAATTTTTGTTAGAACAATTGAAATTAATTAAGAAAAAATAATGAAGACAAATAACCTGCAGAAATTATTATTATTATGTAATTGTACCTACAGATCAAAAACAGCAACAACAAAAAATAAGTAATTAAAATAATTATAAATTAAATTGCAAAAGGCAAAAAAAGAGAGAAATTGTATTAGTTTAATATGTGTAATAAGAATTAGTAAATTTTATTTAGTTTAGGTATATTAGTTAGATCGTAGATTGGTTTAGATTTGACTTGAAATAATTATAAAGGAGAAAATTTCAATATTTGATGTTGAATTTTTATGCTTAACAATTATTATCTAATTCATTTATATATTCTATGTTTAAACACATGCGTTAATTCGATATGAAATTAATTATGATCTTCGAAATCTAAGTGGAATTCTTTTATGTCAGAACATTTGTTATTTACGCAGACATTTTATTAGTTGGATTACGTGGTGTTTTATAAATTACACTATGCAACAAAAAATAATTACAGGAAAAATTTTGCAGATTATTAAAGTAGAAGTAAACATTGAAGACACGTGTATCGGTTTTTTGAAAGTTTCCTTAGCAAAGTCATCTAAATAGGGATGCCAATTTCCCCCCTTTCCACGATTTTTTTGCAATATTAGGATTACAATTCTTTGAAATTTTTGCATGTTAGGTATAAAGGGTCAGCACCAACATTTCCGAAAATAATCCTCGTATTGGATTATTATTATTATTATTATTATTATTATTATTATTATTATTATTATTATTATTATTATTATTATTATTATTATTATTATTATTATTATTATTATTATTTTATTATTATTATTAGTGTTATTATTATTATTATTATTATTTTTTTTTTTTTTGGAAAGTTTTAATCCTCGTTCAGGTCCTTTCGTCCATTTTAAAACATAGTTCAAAATTTCCCCTAAACGGGATCATAGCAAGTCGAAATATTTTACAAAATTATTTTTTTATAAAAGGCGTCAAGAGTTCAAATCTCACCTTACCTTAAAAGGATCATAACCCCCACCATAATGGAATGGGGATTATGTAAAAAAGGTCATAATTCCTAGAATGATTTTGTCCTGCGGATTATGTCCGCAAAGTAGTTTTTTTCGAGGTTCTGGTACTGGTACAATGTACAAAATAGGTATAATTTGAAAGCTTATGGAAATACCAATCCAAAAGTTTGATACCTTGTTTGAACCGGATCAGAAGCAAAACAAGAAAATTTGTATTTTTGAACCGGAACTTTTTGAAAAACTCCGAAAAGTCGAGAAAGGACCAATTAGTGTGTACTAAGATCAACATACTACATTATTACCCTTTCCAAAAAGGGTGCTAAATGTATTGATATCTCTTGTAGTATATTATGACCGGGCACACATAAACGCGAAGAATTCATATATATTAAAAACACATTTTGGGTTAAAACCGTACTTTGTGTTACTTTCTGTCTCTATATCCACTATTTATCAAAACAAATTGCATCAATGTTTCAAAAAAAAAAAAAAAAAAAAAAAAAAAAACTGAAAAAATATTTTTTTAAATTTTTTCCTCGGACTTTTTTCGAGTTAACGCCTGAAAGTAACGTAAAATTTCGTTTTAGGCAGACATTGTCAAGACAAGAAATATTCTACACAAAATTGCACTTACACTCTCTCACACTTAACTATGAATCTAGAATTAATAGTGTTAAAGAATATTACGTTCGAAATGTATATATTACATGTGAATGTTATTAATTTTATGGGGTGTTTAAGACAGATTAAGAAAGAATTTCATGTTGAGTCTCTGAACAAATGAAATTTGTATAATTTATATATACCATAAAGATATTATCAATTTTTGTTTATAATAAACCATTGTTATTTCAGAAAAATATAGCACTTTTTAGGAATTCTCTGCAAAATTTCTTAATATTTTTTTACCCAATAGCTAGTCTGGATTGTTGAACATTCCAAATGGATTTGATAACACTTGGTTTGTAGATCAAGACCCCAAAATAATTGTGGGTCGTTAGGTTAGGTAAGGTTAGATGATGTGTAGTTTGCATATAAATTGTAACTAATTCTTTCGGTCCATTGGGATCATTCTGCGTGGAAAGAAAGGAAGTAGGAATATTATTTGAGAGAGAGTGAGTTGAAAGGTGATAGATCTTTACAGAGAATTAAAAAGAATAAAAACAATTTCTAATAAAGTCGTATTTAAACTCCGGCTCCAGAGCCAATAAAATATTTTTGCGAAATTGTAAATGACAAAGGGATCCGTATTTGAATGCACACTGAGAATGTGTCGATTATCCCCTGTTCAATCGGATCTCTTCCTCAACCTCACACAGTCTGCTGTAGTCGACGTTAAAGTTATCCCACTTAGACGTTCTTAATCGGTTATTGCAGTGACCTGTTTTTATCCCTATTGTTATCCATAGTGCCCACATGCCTAGTAAATACTGACTTCTAATCGAGAAGACATATGACCAGATTTGTTTTGATACTCTGCAACGTAGTTCGTTATACCAGCACGCTTTGGGGGTCTCCCTGAAGAGTAGTTCTAATTAGAGTTGTACCAATCTAGTTCACAATTCAGTACACCAGTTCATACGCAGAGTTTTCATACAAACGACCGGAGTCCACGGAACTAGATGAGTAACAAGTTCTTTCGATCGAACTAGATTGGCGCAACTCTAGTTCAAATGTACTGTTAAAATTACAAAGAGGGAGTTTTAAAATATCGGCGAATTCAAGGTCTGTTGACTTTCTCATTTCCTAAAATATTATTCTGACCAAGTATTTAGCAAAGCCGGAGAGTAGTGTGCAGATTTCCCAGAGCCGCTCTACTATCCTTGACTATCCACATAAATAGTCACAGGTTCAGTTATTTCATTCTAAATAGTTTTAATCAATGCTGCCACTTTCATGATCGCAAAGATCTCTGCCTGAAAATCACTCCCATTCAACTTCTAATAGTAGTAGTAGTCATTCCTAGTTGCTCATAGAATACTCCAGCTTCCGTGCCCTTTTCCATGTTTGTTCCGTATTTATATTTATTAAAGGTAGATTGTCCAGTTCCATTCATTCCTACCTGGTACCAGTATCTCAATTCTGGAGATATGTTATGGCTATTACATTCGTGTTCTTAGAGCAAAATTTTTTAATGCCTTTAAATAGACATGACCACATGACATGCAAAGGGACCCTACTGTTTTGAGACACAATTCGCTTAACTCTATCGGAGATTTTTAACTAAACATCTCCGATTTTCCCTTAACTCTACTCTGATTTCGCAAAAGCGTTTTTTTTTTCTAGAGGACGGACCCGGATATCCGGATATTTGATCCGTAAATCCGGGTCCAAGACTCGGGTTAGACCCGTATCTACTAATCCGATATGAACAATAATTTGAAAGCTAATGAAAGTACCTACCCAACAAGTTGCCAATTGTTTTTATTATTTGCAACGGTTCGAGAGTAATATTAAAATTATCGATTTTTTTAACCTGGACTCTTTAAAAAATACCCTAAAAGCCGAAAAAGTTTCAATTTTGTAGTCCGCGAAATATATATTATTTGTCTTTCCAGAATCCTACGATATGTGTTATTATCTTTTCTGGATTGAAAGATATGGACCTTTAAACCCGGTCAACCCGATTCTGTTCAGTACATGAAATGATGTTTTGAGCATGAAAAACTTTACTTCACGTAGCCGGTGTTGAACATACATTAAACAAGCCTCGGAATCAGGGTTCAAGTACACTGATTTAAAAAAAAATCCGAGAGTTTTTACAAAACTAGATTTGTTCCTTCCGAATTTCCAAACATGTGAAAAGAGGAACTTTCACCATCAGTTTAGGTTAATTTGCTATGTTAAATTTAAAATCGCCGATACACGTCTCTTCAATTTTTAGCTCTAATTTTACAATCTACTGGATTCTCCATGTTGCACATTGTTATTAACGAAGGCATATGTGGACCTCTCAAGGGTGATCAAAAATTCGTGTACGACTTTGTCGGTAAAGCCTTAGTGTTGGTTAACATGTTAAAAGTTGGGAGCGTTATTAAAATATCCATCTTTTTTTAAGGCTTTTAGTCTGATGTACTTTTCTAGTCGATAACTACGTTTTCTAATTGATGTTTGTAACTTATTGTGGTTAGCTTTTGGTACATACAAACAAACAGTCTGCCTCCTTTACATTTCTTTAATATGGAGTCATTACAATACATAAGAGAGCCCCTGTGGCGGATAGCTTGGATTACACTCTGCGCCATTCTTCCGTTGTAACAAGTCGCGACCGTTCTCTTTGTCGTTTATCCAGGAAACCAATAGGTTAATTTTTACAACCTCATCAAAGAACCTTTGATGACTGTTGTTTTGGGAGTATTGAATTTGGTTTTTTCTTCCTGTGCCAGATTTACGTTCTTTGTTTGAGAATGGTCAGTCCTCTTTGGAGGTTGAAGGTGTTTATCGAAGAGAGAGAAAGAAGAGTGTTTATCCGTGTTTTATTCCAAGGCGAGTTGTCAGGCTGCAAATATGTCTTTGGAGAGGTATTTTCGAAATGTTTTCTGCTTACTCATTTTTGTGACCACAAGTTAGCTGCCTTGAATCATTTTTCGTAAGGATGGCATTTTCAGATTTGACAAAGAAGTACTTCCAGCCGGACCGCGGAGTCGTAGCAGATATGCGTTCGTCCCATATTTATACCCTACACCACAAGGTGGTCAGGGTATTACATCTTTGTGCATTTATGTGTAACAGTCAAAAGGAAACGAGATAGACCCATAGTTCCTTTTTGATGATCTGCCCAGAACAACATTCTGAGCCGATTTATGCATGTCCGTCTGTCCATGTATTTTTGTGAACAAAGTACAGTTCGCATTTATTACCCAATCCACACATCATTAGTTTGGCCCAAGGACCCAATTGTGCACCAAATGTGTAATATCAGCCCGAATAGTATGGAATTTTGCACATGCAACCAAATTAGGTCTGAAAATAAGTATGCCAAATTTGATCGAAATCGGTTCAGATATAGCTATAGCTCCAATATATATTGTTCTTTCGATTTGTTATTTTCGTAATATGCACTCTGTAACAACAATATTTGGGGAA